CGGCAGCGGCAGTGGCGGTGGGGGGAGGGGCGGCGGCAGCGGCGGGACCGTTTGGAATGCAGTCAAAACTGTCCAGTCATTCCGATGGCAGCGGCCAAGCTCTGTCTGTAGAGCAGGCTGCAATGCTGGGGTCCCCAGCCCCCCGGGGCGAGAGTCAGAGACCCACTGCAGATCTCCCTTGCAGAGGGCTTCAGACACCGGTTTGCCCTGTCGCCATCTTCCTTTCTTCTGAGAATAAATATTTTTATTGTACTATCTTTTTAGGTGTTGATTAAGAATAGGCTAGCCATTTAGTCCATACCAGCAATTTAGTTCATTTCTAAGAGAACTGAAGCTTCTGGGAATTTAACCACATCAATGCAGTCTTTTTTACATTTTTTTTTATTTTGAAGATGTGGGGTACAATTCAGGGTTAGGTATACAAATGTTCATTATTCAGGTGCCCTTGTTGATGAGGTGTGTCCCCAATTCCCCTGGCAGTTTCCTGCTACTACCAGTCCTGCTTTCCCCCACCAATGGGTGTCCTTTAAAGATTTGTTTAAGATTAAAAAACAAAAAGAAGTCAGAACGAGTCATATCAACATGGTGAGGGGGATGCCTGATTATCCATCAAACTCTTGCAAAATTGCCCTTGTCTGATGAGAGGAATGAAGGAACATTGTTGTGATAGAAAGCTTTCCTGGGCATTCTGCTCGAGCTTTGGGTAACTTTCTCAAAGCTCCCTCATATAAGCAGAAGTTATCCTTCTTTGGCCCTCCAGAAGGTCAACAAGTAATATACCTCAAGCATCCCAAAAAAACTGTTGCCATGACTTTTGCTCTTAATTAGTCTGCTCTTGCTCTGACTAGGCCACTTCTGAGGCAGAATAGGTAAAAATAGTGATAGATAGATGAGTTTCTTGCAGGCAAACATAACTTAGATAATTAAAAAACCAGATGATCAGGCATCCATCTGGGTGCAGTCTTATCATAACATAGCTCCCTAGAACAATAAATACCTGCACTGACTAGGCACTGGAGGCACTATAGGATGGTGTTTTTAGGAAGAAACTTAATTAAAATAGTAAAATAGTAACTTTTACCATGATCTCAAGATTTTCACAAGATGCAAGTAAGCTCATAAGTAGACAATAAGAATAGGAAATTGTGATCAATAGATTATTACCCACCATGTAGCACACAAGATCTTAGTTTAAAAAAAATAGGTTGCTTAATATTACTAAGAAAATGTATAAAGCATTCAGTTAACAATAGGTCAGTATGTCCTTTCTCTTAAGGTACCCATGTTCTCTCTTGAGCGTGTCTTTTCTTTCTAATAAAGTCTGTCTTAAACTATACTTTGGGCTCACTCTGAAATTCTTTTCTATAGTGTAGACAAGAACCCATAGGGCAGCAACACAACACCCCATTCAGCATCATTTCTACTTCTCGGTAGCTATTGTTTTGATTGTCAGTTATTTTCAGAGTCAAACTGGCAAAACCATGCTTTATCTCCGGTTACAATTCTTCGAAGAAATGCTTCAGGCTCTTGATCCCTCTTGTTTAAAATTGCCATGGAAACTATGGTTTAATATGCAGCTGAAAAATTTGCTCCACTATAATTTTTCAGTCAGAATTGTGTAAGCTGAATCAGTTAAGACATATGGTATTGGCTATTGTTTCTGCCATTAGTCATCAGTCCATTTAAATTAGGGCACACAAAAAAATTAACTTTTTCCAAACAAATTCATGTGGATTGTATGCCATTCAAACTTCATCTTCAACATTGTCTCATCTCTTCTTCAAGTGAGTTATCCATTTGTAAACTGCTGATTTATTTAGGGCTTGATCCCAAAAACCTTCATAAAGCATGAATGATTTCACCATTCTTCCACTCAAGCTTCATTATAAATTTGAAGTTTGTTTTTGCTTCAATTTTAGTGAATTCATGTTGCTCTGATAGATGTTTTTTTCAAACTGATGTCTTATCCTTCTTAGTGCCTTAGAATATCCTGTTCATACATGTCACAACAATTTAGTATAAATTTATTTTGGTGAAAAAATTGAAATCCGTGTATAGTTTTTTAATATGCATTTTCTGTGAACTTTTTGAAGACCCTCTTTATTTTTTGAACAAATTGACCTGAAAATCCAACAATTCACACAGATTTTTACTAAATTTTCAGTAATATGTTTTCAAATTTTCAGATCCATTTCTTCTAGCTCAATCTAGTGGCCAAATGCAAATTGTTTATTGTGGTTGTTCTTTATCTTCAATCGTCAGTCAAAAGTTTGGTATAGCTTCAAACCAAAGCTCAGGGATTTAAATGCTCTGATGAATGAATGATAACACTTTACAGAGTCTATAAACTTAGAAAGGAATTTTCTTAGAGTGAATATTTTCCCTCCAATGCTACACCTGTGCTACCACAGCTGTAACCACTTCCTGTCCGTGATAATGATTCTCTGCCTTGGTCTTCTCAGCAGGTGGATGTCTCAAGAAGATCCCTGGGGTTTTGTACACCTGTCTCCAGCAGTCCTCTCACTGTGCCTGCATCAGTGCACAGAAATACATTGCTGAGTCCCCCAATTGTAATGCTGAGATGACAAGGCTGATAGATTTGCTTGACTTCCTGAGATTCAATGAGTAACGACCTTCTGTTGCATTTTCCCGGTCATAAGAGAGCTGATGAATAAGGAGTATCATCTCTCCACTGCTGGGCTGCTTGTACCAGAATAGACTATAACTTCTAACAGTGGTGTCATATGTGCAGTTCAGAGTCACAACCTCCTTCTCTTGCACCAACACTGCTTGTTGAGCTTGAATTACCTTCTGGGCAATGCCAGATGCTGAAGGAAATAAGAATCAGGTGGTTTAGGAATAAGTGGTGTGGGACAAAGAAATTCTGTTTTTAGACCCTGCTATCCCTCTTTCCCAAAATTCCCATAAGACATTTTCTAGTCCTTAGGTCATAGAGCAAGTCCATTCCCACCAGGCCGTACATACCTAGCCACATCGAAGCTATAACCATCTTCAGCAGGCTAGAGAACAACATGTCTGGCTCTTCCCTTCTTCTGCAGTTTCAGGGCTCTTCACTGTGAGGTGAGAGAAGAATTACTGAATTACTGGGCTATGTACTGTAGCAGGTGCTGCTGCTGCCCTAACACAGGAAATAGTGGTTTCCTAATGTAGCAAGTTGGTAGGTAACTTTTCTACGAACTAGCTAAGAATCTCACTTAACCCAAACTTCCTTTTGATTAACCAACTCTAATTTGTTAACACATGTGAAAATAAACATGGTCACATTCAAAGAAAATTTAATAACTCCACCATTATGTTCAGTTATTGCATCTGTGATGGAGCTGGAAGGTTGATACATTTTATTAGGTTGGTACAAAAGTAATTGCGGTTCCAGGCCATGAATTTTAAATCATGATAACTAGGCTCAAACACATATTTATTAATCAAAATAGGAACCATTACAATCAACACATTTTGGTCAACAAGAAATAAGTTTGTTTATTCCTGTAGCCTGAAAATCCGTGCTTCAGGATTCAACAAACTCTTGGAAAGCATTTTCTGTATCCTGCTGGTTGTGAAAGCATTTCCCCTGCAATAAGTTGTCAAGATGCTTGAAGAGGTGGTAGTCAGTTGGCAAGAGGTTGGGTTAATATGATGGATAAGGCAAAAACTTCTTAACCCAATTCTTTCAACTTTTGAAGCTTTGGTTGCTCAGCCTGTGGTCAAGCATTGTCGTGGAGAATTGGGGCCTTTCTGTTGACCAATGCAGGCATTGCCGTTTTCAGTGCATCTCATTGGTTTGCTGAGCATACTTCTCAGATTGAATGGTTTCAGAAAGCTGTAGTTTATCAGACCGGCAGCAGACTATCAAACAGTGACCATGACTTTTTTTTGGTGCAAGTTTAGCTTTGGAAAGTGTTTTAGAGCTTCTCCTCGGCCCAACCACTGAGCTGGTCATCATCGGTTGTCAAATAAAATTCACTTCTCATCACACGTCACAATCCGATAGAGAAATAGTTTGTTGTTGCATAGAATAAGAGAACATGACACTTCAAAACAACAATTTTTTAGATTTTCATTCAGTTCATGAGGCACCCATTTATGAGCTTTTTCACCTTTCCAATTTGCTTCAAATGTTGAACAACCGCAGAATGGTCAATATTGAGTTCTTCAGCAACTTCTTGTGTAGTTGTAAGAGGATCAGCTTTGATGATTATTCTCAATTGGTCATTGTCAACTTCTGATGGCCAGCCTCGATGCTCCTCATAATCAAGGCTCTCCTCTCCTTGGCAAAAGTTGAACCACCACTGCACTGTATGTCTGTCAGCAGTTCCTGTGGCAAATGCATTGTTGATGTTGTGAGCTGTCTCCGCTGCTTTACTACCCATTTTGAACTTGAATAAGAAAATTGTTCAAATTTGCTTTTTGTCTAATATTCTTTCCATAGTCTAAAATAAATGTAAAATAACTTGCAAGTAATAAGTCATTAGCAAAAAAAAATAAAGTGAGAAATGCACATTAAAATGATGCATAACGTGACTCACATTATTTAAGAATGCATTCCTATATCAAATGGTAAATATCAACAATGCAAAAACCCCAATTACTTTTGCACTAACGTAATAAAAATCTACATGTAATGAATTACAGAGTCAATGTAAGATGTAATAATCATGCTCCTCACATCTATATATGTTATTTTTTTCTGCTAAGGACAGAATTAATCACATTATCATAACAAGGCAAAGCTATTTGGGCTAATCTCTGCAGATCTTTTGATCCACCTATTAATATAGCAATATTTCTCCTCACCTCCATTGTCTACCCAGTTGTTGATCTTGGAACCAAAAGCAAAAAATACTAATCTATCTTTGCTAAAGATTTTAGGATGAAGCCCTGAGACATTGAGTCCTGTCATAAAAATCTCTTCTTTTTTATTTAGTTTTCACAGCCCAGCTCTGTTCATACATATTAGATATCAAAGATTATATTAGATATGAAAGTTTGGTCATTAAAACCTTTGAATTTATTTTTTTCTACTCTCTCAGTCGAGACCCTAAATGAACCACAGCAAACCTCTACATTCTGCACACCCAGCTCTGAAAGGAATGTATCCTATATAACCCTATAAATCTCCCCAGGACACCTACTTATTGCATCACTGATTCTGATAAATTTTTCATTGTGTGTGAACATTAAAGGTCACGCCCTAGTGATGTGAGTCAACAACATTGAAAACAATAAAACCCATGACCTATCTTAGCCTATTTCTTAATATAGTAGCCACAGCTTATTCTCCTTGCCTTAAAATAAATTCAGCTTTGTTTAAATTGTTTAAATTGGTGGAAGACTTTTCAGGTTTTTCATTGGAATCATCATTGAATTTTATGATACCACACACAGTAAAAATAATCTCTCTAAAAACACCCAATATTTTTCCACCAGTTGGTGGATGAATTATGACATATTATTAATTTCTCCTCAAAGTATTCCAACCCATTACACTTCTCAATCAAGAAATTTTATACTTGTACTTTTTTCATTCAAAAAGTGTCCATGCCAGAACAGATATTTTAGACACCCTCATACCAAATTCTAAATTAATTTTATTTTTTACTATCTCATCTTCAAAACAGAAAAAAATAAGTCTTATAATACAGACTCTATTATAAAATTGAATCCCTTAGAAGAAGCAAGATGTAATCAAGTAGCTGAACTTGTGGCTCTGTCTTCGGCATGTCAAATTACAAAAAATATATACAGTGATAATCAATATGATAATTCATATGTTTTAAAGTAGTTTACAACTCCCAAATAACATGGAGACTATTAGATTTATTAACCTTATTGACCTACTCAGGTATCTCAGATATTCCTACCCGAGGTATCCTATTTGTATCCTGTACAATCAATTAACATATTTGATGTCTTGATGCCATTCAAAAAATTCTTATAATAAAGACAGTCTCACTATATGAAAGACACTATAGAGACCAGGAACAAGATACTTGAGCAGATGATCATGATAAACATGACTTTCTTAGAAGTCCTTATACAAGTACTTCTTATAGAACATAAACGCAAATCCAAGGAAAATTTCAGTAATTCCATCTTAGATGAATCATTGATTTGCTTGATCAAATAGGATAAGATATAGCAATGCCAGAAAGTCTGGTGGAATCAAATGCTCTCCAATGAACACTTGCTAAAATACTCCAGAGACAACACCTCACCAAAGGAACACATTGACTGTAGAATTAAACAAATATTTGTATGAAGACTTTTCTGTGATAGTAGGAAATGTGTCCAGTTCATACCTTTTTGAAATCAGCAAAATCTTATGAAAGCTGTAAAAAATGGGATATGAACTAGAATATTGTACTAGGGAAACATTTTGAGAATCTTAAAAAAGGTTTTTACACAATTATACTATTTGTGTGGGTTATGAGTACTCCTGGTAATAATCTTTTATATTATAAGTTGGAACACATTGCTGCCAGAAAAATACAACATTTCCAATAGCTGAAAATCAATTTGATTTTCTATTTCCCTCCCGTGACAATTTAGATTATCTATACATAAGGAGACATATTTTTCTTGGATGGTTTTGTAAGGTTTTGTCCTCATTCAGAAACTTCATTTTTCTTATCACCTCCTGATCTTCTAAAATTGTGGAAACAACAAATGAAACATTAAGACTGAAATTGACTGCCATATAGACATCCTTTAACTCTTATGACATAATGTTTTATTATTCTGAGCTCTCATGTGTTGTCTCACTATGAACTGGTCGCTAGTAGGTTCATATTACTCAAAATGTCCCAAGTCAGACATTCCATTCTACAAACGTAACTGGATAAACTCATGATACTTAGTTTTTTCATCAACAGGTACAAGTTACCTTTCTTTGCCTTTTATTTAATCAACCTTCACATGACTTAAAAGTGGACAATTTGGTGTTCTGAAAAAAATTCCAGAGAAAGATGCCTTTAAGCCTTGTGGAAATGAACTTATTTGGTACTATTTATTACCTGTTTAGCATAGAAAGTACAAGGAGCTGATCTGTGGTTATTTTTTTTTTACCAACTAGTATGGTATTATCCATTTTAAATGACAAGAATCAAAAAGTTACATTAAAGATCTTAAACTGAGGTTCTCTGGAGAATCTTCAGAAGCAGACATTCACAGATAATGAGTGCTAACTCAAGAACTTGAAACAAACATATAATCGCAGAAAGTAGACAACTCTATACAAGGCTAATAGAACAGACTTCTCTAGTTGACTAGAAGCATTGATTGTCATACTCTTCTTTGCCTTCTTTTGTTTTTCATTCTTTTCATAGTATTTTCCATTCCAGTATAATGTTTTGCATTTCCAACTGGCCCTAATTTGCTAATAAAACAGCTTGTTCATGTATAGGCTTTACTTGAGGCAATGGCCACCCTAAGGTTATAATCCTTAAGCTCTACAAAGCCATAGCTAGTGCAACAAACTTAAATAATTGTGGGATATGTCTCTCAATGTCAACTCCTGGGAATACCCAAACTATAACCATACTCAGTTAATAAGACAAGTGAATTTTGATCAACAAAATTAGTCTTAAAATATTAGAAAAATATCTATTAATAAAAATATAGGATAGAGTTGGTACAACTAAACATATACAGATCATGGCTCACCCTGATTACATGTGTTGGTCCAACTCTCACCTAACCTCTCCATTATAAAGTGTCATAGTGTTTCTTCTGTAGAACTATATGACCAATCTCTAAAGAAATGCATACACTTGAAATGTTGAACTATTTCTATTAAAAAACTCAAAAGTTTAAAACATTCAGTTTTAGAAAGAACTGAGAATAGTGGCAGAAATGTAGACTAAGCATGTGCCCGATGGCATGTGCTTCCTCTAACCAAGATTAATACTTCTTAAAAGATTATGTACTGTATATTTTTATTCATAAAACATTCTGAAAAAGATACAAATATAAAAAAGCAAACCAAAGTTTGCTAGGAGTTGGGATGGGGAGGATATG